TTCCCTCCTTTCTCTCTCTCTTTCTCTCTCTCTCTCTCTCTCTCTCTCTCTCTCTCTCTCTCTCTCCCTTTCTCTCTCTCTCTCCCTTTCTCTCTCTCTCTCTCTTTCTCTCTCTCTCCCTCCCTCCCTCCCTCCCTCTCTCTCTCTCTCTCTCTTTTTCTCTTCTGTAGTGCTAGGGATTGAACCCAAGGCATTGCCCATACTCGGCTATCATTGAGCTGCATCTGCAGGCACTTGGATTGTGTATGTGACCCAGATCCTGCAGATAGATAGATCGCTGAGATCTGATACGAGCAAAGATCTATATGAGCAGATTAGATATGAGGATGTTCACTTCACACTGTTTGTGCCAAGATGTACTGGAGAGAACCCAAGTATCCATCACTTGGATGTTAGACAAATACCTGTGGGTATTCGATTATGACCGTATATCCCACAGCCCTGGGAAGGAAGGAAGGTCAGCGGGCAGCCGGGACACGTGACGTGGAAAGCCGTCCAAGATCCCACAGTAAGCGGGAGAGCAAGAGGCAGAACAGACGTGCGCCGCAGCCTCAGGGCTCTTGAGTAGACACTGCGTTAAAGGCAGAGGTAAAACCGGCAGAGGAGCTACGTCATGCCGGCAGTGGTTTTCGGAGTGGGTCGTGAGGGAGGACCTCCGCGTTCTAATTCAGAATTCCTCAGAGCTTGCAGTCTTTATGCTATGCATGTCATCTTTTTGGAGGCAGAAAAATAAATCAGGGTCGCTAAATAAAGGATGAAGTCCCACTGAGCCGGTCTCCCGACAGGATGTAAGTTATGTTTACTGTGTGATTGCAATCTTTACTTTTTAGATGTATGCGAAAGTCCTGGGAAAGGCCTTGCTGAGCGCCCTGGGCCGCAGTTGCTCCGGGTGGTAACGTAGGTCAGATTGCACTTCTGTACTTTCCAAGTATTTTCATTAAGCCCAGATTAGCCTCCAGATTCTATTGAAAGAAGACTGTGGACTTTACGGAGTTTAGAAAGCTCCAGCTAGGGAGCCCTGGGCCGTGTGTGTGTGTGTGTGTGTGTGTGTGTGTGTGTGTGTGTCTGTCTGTCTGTCTGTCTGTCTGTCTGTCTGTCTATAACATCAGCTCCTCTGCCAAACTCTTGTGTTTTGAGCAAGGGCCATTAAGATGAGAGGGTGGGCACAGTGCAGCTGCCTTTGGGCCAGGGACCCTGGGAAGCTGGATGCCAGTGGAGGCTGGCGGGGACTGCTGAGGGGTGTCACAAAAGCAATAAAATGGGCTTGGTGTTTGTTGGTTGGTTGGTTTTTGTTGTTTTTTGTTGGTTTGGTTTGGTGTTCAAGACTGAACCCAGAGGGCTGGGGGTATAATTCTGTGGCATGGTGCCTGCCTGGCAAGTGCAAGGTCCTAAGTTCGATTCCCATTCCAAAAAAAAAAATTGAACCCAGAGCCTCTTTCATGCTGAGTTCTACCACTGAGCTACACCCCATGCTTTGTAAATAAAATGAACTCTTAGGATCAAAAACGAGGGCTGGGGTGTAGCTCAGCGGCACAGGTACCTGCCTGGCAAGCGCAAGGTCCTGAGTTCGATTCCTGGTACTAAAAAAACAAAAATGGGATTGAACTAAGTCTTAGTCTGTTTTCTGTTGTATATCAAAGTAACCAATGTTAGGTAATTGATTTTTTTGTTTTTATTCCGGTACCAGGAATCAAACTCACAATCTTGCGCTTGCCAGGCAGGCGCTGTGCTGCTGAGCTATATCCCCAGCCCCAATGTTAGGTAATTGATAAGGAGTCAAAGTTTAGCTGGCTCATGGTTCTTGTGGCCGGCAGGTCCAAGACCCTGAAACTGGTACCTGGTGAGGGCTTCTTGCTGTCACCGGTGGGGAGGTATCAGCACCTGGAGACCGAGGGGCCAGCTCTGCTCTCTTCCCTCTTCTAAAGCTATTGGTGTCGCCGGCGGGACCCAGACCTCACCTAATCCCAGTCACCTCTTGAATATCTTTAACCTGGTGTAGTGGATTGACAACTGGTGGTCAATTTATAACCCCCAGTTGAACTGAGCAAGCGTGGTGCTGGGTGTGGGAGCCCACCTGGGGACTGTTGCCAGCAGGATAAGAGGCAGACCTGGAGGAGAAGGAGGCTGTTGGGAGCTGAGAAGGCTGTGGGAGCTGGTGGAAGGTGTAAGGAGCTGTTGGTTCTGTTGGAGGAGCTCGTCATGCTGGCTTTCCTGATGAACTTGGCTGTTTTCATCCTCTGAGGAGCTCCGGACCTCGTTGGTACTGAGAATAGCTTTGGTTCACTTAGGGGGAGCTCTGGTCCTCACTCTGAGCATGGCTTCCTGGCTGCGGAGGGGAAGATGGTGCACTGCCAGTCTCCTGGACAAGCTTGCTGCGTTGGCTTCCCTGATGGGAGCTCAGTCGGCCATCTTGATCATCGGAGGAGCTCGGGACCTCACTGTTGCTGAGGATGGCTGTGGGACCTTGTGGGGGAGCTCTGGTTCTTACTTGCTCATCGCTTCCTGGCTCCAGTGCAGATCCCTCAGCCTGCTGGCACAGATCCTTCATCCTGCTGGCACAGACTTCCTAGATTCCACCACTGACCTGTGGGCCTTCCCAGCGCAGATCCCTGAAACAGGCTGCATGAGACATTGTTACGAGCTCTCGGTCTTAAGGTGGACTCATGCAGGACATTTCCGTGGGATCCAGGCCCTCAGCTGGATTCCTTGGTCTTAGCGTGTGGACAGGTTTCCTGCACTCTCTTGTATATCGTTCTTTTCGTGACTATTATAAATATTCTTATAAAATATGTGTCCCGTATTATATTGTTTCCCCTTGCAAAAATATCCCCCAAACCAAGACACCCAGGAATTTGGTTTTGAAGTTTCTGACAAGTGAACTTTGGGGACACCTTCAAACCACAGCGTACCCTCATCGTGTTTAGCAGCTGCTTGCTTCGTAATGTGCGGTGGACGTCTTCACCCAGGCCGGGGTCTTGTGCGGTTTGGGTGTCTGGGGAGGTGGTTTGTGTAACCGCGTGGTGGAGGCCGGGGATGCCGGAAGCCCTCCCGTGGGCAGGGAAGTTCTGCACGGGGAAGTGCACTGCACCCTGCAGGGCCTGGGAGTGTGTCGTGGGAATGGCTCGTAATTATCTGAGTCCAGAGCTGAGCTCTGTGCTACGTGGAAAGGCAGCATGACTTTGGCATGCTTCCATAGACGCTGAGCTTGGGGTGGTCATCTGTGGGTTACGTACAGGGCAGTACAACTGTGTGACTCAATATTTATTATAAAATGGGGGCATGAGGGCTGCTAGGACCAAGACTTCCCACTGTGCTATGAGCGCAGTCTCTTAGAAGGCCTCCTTAGCCTTTTGGGTAGAAATAATAAAAAGTGCATTTAATCATTCCCCACAGACAGATCTTTGTGTTGGATTTGGTTTTGTACAATACTATGCCACCTTTTGTTCTTTTTGAGGCAAGGTCTCGCTGTGTTTTGAACTCGTTTATGTAGCTCAGGTGGCCTTGAACTCATGGCAGTGCTCCTGCCTCAGCCTCCCGAGTTCTGGGATTACAGACATGTGCCACCAGGCCTAGCATACTAAGACACTTCGTGTATGTACATGCCTTGCATGCTCGTGTTTCTGTAGAATTGATCCCTAGATGTAGAATTGCTGGGTCAAAATGAAGGAATACTTTTTAAGGAATTTTAGTAGCATTTTAGCATTGCCAGCTTGCCTTGTAGGAAAGGTCTGTCCTATTGACTGTGTGTGACGGTACCTGGTCCCCGTGTCCTGGCCCACACTGGCTAAGTTGTTTCAATTCCTTCAAATATTTGCCAGTCTGGTGCCCGAAATGGTGTCTTCTGTTCTTTCTCTTGGTTATTTTCTCTCCTTTTGGGTGCAGTGCTGAGGACGGAACCCAGGCTCTCGTGCACGCTGGCAAGGGCCCTGCCCCTGAGCCGCACCCGAGCTCAGGGTGGTATTTTCCTTCGCAGTCAGCGACAAGTGGAGCAGTGTGTATTCACATGCCTGTCTTCCCACAGGAAGGCTGTGCCCGTAGAGCACATAGTGTCTCTTGGGGACCGTTCCGCAAAGCCTAAAGCAGGAATTCTTTTCTTGCTTGGCTGCTTCAGGGGAAACCGCGGGTGAGAGGAGGCGGGCCGCCCTGAGTGGTCTGACGCTCGCTTCGCCTTCTGCAGGAGGCCTGGAAGCACGCGATCGAGAAGGCCAAGCACATGCCCGACCCCTGGGCTGAGTTCCACCTCGAGGACATTGCCACGGAGCGCGCTACTCGCCACAGGTCAGCAGCTTCTCCCGGGGCTTTGGGGAGTCCTGGCAGGGCGTGGGACCCCCGTTTTGCTCACAGCTGGAGAGGGCCAGGTACCTGTGGGGTCAGGAGAAGGGAGCGGTACAAGCCAGGCGTCCTCAGTCTGAAAACCTAACTTTCAGAGTTGAGACTGCTTTGGATTTTCAAGTGCGGATGCTCAGCTGGTCAAGACTGCGTATGCAAATACTGTATTCTGAAAGCGGATGCTTCGGTCCCCAGCGTGGTAGATAAGGGACACTCAGCCTATGAAACACCACCCGTGCCTGAGTGTTGGTGCTTGCTCTACGCACTGTGCGTGCTCACTGGGCCCCTCTCATTGTCCTGCAAGGTACACGTTAGACGGGCTAGGCTGACTGTATCACAGCAAGAACTAGCGCGCGGACTTCCTGCAGCACAAGTGCGTTCCTGGTGTTTCAAGCTGGGCGAGAGGTGAACAGCTGTTCAGGCAGCCCAGCAGTCCACGCTATCCCGTCTCGTGGATCCTTCCTCTGGACACGTGACCGCACCAGTGCTGCCCAGGGGAGGGACAGCGGCAGGGTAGCACCCTGGCTTTCCAGCCCCCAGCCCGAGGGGTGGCGTCGGTTTTGTGTGCTTCTCATAGGGGAGAGCTGCCGAGTTCCATGGCCCCGCTTAGCTGCAGGGAGGGGCTGACAGGGTACCCTGCCCCCTCCACCGTTCTGCAGCCGGTTCTGTTCCCACCCGAGGAGGAAGTGGCTTTAGAGCCCCGCGTGCACCTGCCCTGTTCTCTGCCAGAGGTAGAGACCCCTTGATGGCGTCCCTGCTCTGTGCCTGGCAGGCGGGGTCACAGCTGTGGGGGTCCCAGCAGGGTCAGGTGCAGGCTGGACCCCTTTTCACTGCAAGAGCATGCCTGCTGGCTGGCCGGTGACACACAGCTTCCAGGCTAAGGACACTCAGCCACCCAGGCAGGCCCTGGGGACCACCAGCCTGAGGGAGCAGGACTCGTGGGCTGGGCTGGTTCTGTGTTCTGTAGCTCGTCTTGGATCAGGGCCAGGCCACACTGTGTTTACTCTCTGAGGGAAGTGGCTGACGGCCCTGAAAGGCCCCACGAGTTGATGGCCAGAGCGTGAGATCTCTAAAGTGGAGGTTTCCGTCTCCCATTTCTGTTTGTTTTTTTTTTAGCTCTGGTGCGCACTAGCCTGTTACAGTATTAGGAACAGATACCCCTCCGTGTGGGTTACACCCAGCCTGACTGAGAGCAAGGTTTTAGTGTAAACCACTCCGCATTTGGTCCTGACTCTTGGGCAGGATATTGAGCCTCAGTTTCTCCTCCAGAAAAATGGGCATAATACCCGTAGCAACCTCAGGGTTGCCGGAAGGTTGAATGCAGTGATCCACTGAAGCACCCGGCCTGTGATGAGCATTCAGTGAGCTTTGAGCCCTTTTGTCTTTATGACGGGAGCAGCTGTGGATGGCAAGTAAGACTCCCAAGGCTTCATGCTTCCCCCACCCCAGCCTGCGGTGCCTCTCCGGGTAGGGGTGAAGGAGAATTGTTTCCATAACCTTCTCCTCCACCTAGTAATAAAAAAAAAATCACTGCTATCATTTATTGCACACAGGCTGGTTGCAGGTAAGCTTGGAGCTGTGAAAAGCCCTGTTGCTCTGAGCGGGGCGGTTACCTGCCAGGCCTTAGCTTGTTTTATCTTGTAGAAGTTTCAGGCACTGAGAAACCTGTTCGGGGGCCTGGGAGTGTGCTAGAGTCGGCCCCAGCTGAGAAGTAGGCCAAGAGAAGCCTCCCACCAGAGATAAGAAGACCCCAGCCCAGGGGAGGTTTTAGATATTAGTGATCCACTGAGCCGAGAAACTGTCTACCAGGCAAACCTGTCTGAGGCCAGGCCTGAGGGCAGGTGTTCTTTGGGAAAGAGGATTCCTGAAAGATGAGATGGAACCGTCCCAGAACCTCCTCTGTCTCTTTCCTAGAACATTCTCCATCTCTCTGCCTTAGGTGTACGCCCAGCAGACCCTTTCCTGGTTAGCCTCAGAGGCGGGGTCCTCTCCTTCCTCTGCCTGCACTGGGACAGCTCTTACTTCTTGGGGCATGTGTCTGGCTACACAGGCTGCATCTGGCCCAGTTGCCTGACAAGACTGAGGATGCTGCCGCCCCCCTACCTGGGGGTGCTTTGTTCCACAGACCAGTTGTAGCAGGATGTTTGTGTACTCAGCATGCATCCAGTGTATATGAAGTGTTCGACACACCAGGCCCTGTCTTCGTGGACTAACAGCCAGCGCGGGAGCCAGGAGCAGAACAAGACAGAAAATGGGCAGAGGCCGATGTGGGGGAGGGGGTAAAATGGGGACGGGAGAAGCGACAGTGGTTGAGGGAAGGGAGGAGGCCAGCGTGGTGAGACCTGGGACGGGCGAGTGTCCGCAAGAGCCAGGTTGAGGTGGGTGCGGCCTTGGTCCCGAGGGCCAAGGGCAGCCCCAGAGGCCTTCACCTTTGGCCAGTAGGGGCGGGATCATGTTACGAGGTGCTCCTTGGGGTGGGCTCTGGTCTCTGCAGGTACAACGCTGTCACCGGCCAGTGGCTAGAAGATGAGGTTCTGATCAAGATGGCGTCTCAGGTGAGCAGGTCCCTGAGCCCTGGCCGCACGGCGCTGGGTGGGGACTGTCTCAAGCCAGCCTCGGGCCCTGTGCCCTCTCCTCACCTACTTTAGTTTTCTAAGCTGTGGGCTTTCTTTGTGCTATTGCGTGTGTGTTATAGTTCTCATAATAGCTTTGTTGAGTGCAATTCAAATACAGCGGTACCTTGGTTCATGAACTTAATTCTCTTCGCAATTCGGCTTGCAAGGCAAATTGCATGAGAACGGAATCAGGTTTTACCGTAACGTCAGTATTGAACCTAACCATTGAATTTGATTCAGTTCTTGCGCAGTTTGGCTTGTGACCAGAATAGGGAAAGGAATTGAGTTCATGTGGGGCATGGTAGTGCGTGCCTGTAATCCCAGCACTCGGGAGGCTAAGGCAGGATTGCCAAGGTTCGAGTCCAGCCTGGGCTCTGTGGTGAGTTTAAGGCCACCTTGAACTATATGTGATCCGATCTAAAAAAAAAAATTTCTTTTAATGAGTTGGGGATGTAGCTCAGTATAGAGGCTCTGGGTTCAATCCCCAGTGCCAAAAAAAGAAAGAGGTGGAGGGAAGGAGGGAAGTGGGGTAAGGAAGGAAGGGAGGGAACAAACTATAGCACACAGGGCACCACTGTGTTGCTCACCTCCTGGGCTCAAGCAAGCCTCCTGCCTCAGCGTCCTGTGTAGCTGGGACTACGGGCATGCGCAGATGCACTGGCTTCCTTTCTACTTTCTTTCCATTAGAGACGGGGTCGAAATCGTTCTTTGACATGTGGTGCCCTCCCCAGCATTCTGGGCGCGCAGTCCTAGGCTCAGGGCCTTTCAGGCTTTGATGCCGGGTGCAGGAGGGAGGGCCAGGCTAGTGGGATTGTGGTGAGGTCCAGGGCCGCCCTGGGTGTGTGAGGTCTGGGGAACATCTTGTGGCTGCTTCTGCGTGGGGCGTTGGGACTGACTGGCCTCTGTGTGATGTCTTTCAGCCCTTTGGCCGGGGAGCCATGAGGGAGTGCTTCAGGACGTAAGTGACGCCGCCTGTGCTTGGGGCCCTGCCCGGACTCCACCAGGCTGCTGAGATCAGGGGCACTGGGGCGGTTCAGCCGAGGACCGGAGACAGAGGCTTCTGCCTCCGTGCAGCCCAAGTTCCTCTCCGCCTGGTCTCTGCTGGACCACACGCTGGGCCCAGCTGTGGGGATGGGCTCCAGAGGAACAGGGAGTGCCCACTAATCTCAAGTTCGGGGGTCAGGGGAAGGGACTGGAGATCTTCCGGGGACGGGTGACCCCCTTTCCGCTCCCGGAAGGACGCAGTGGGTGGGGACGCCCCTCCCACCTACATGTTGTTCCTGCCTCAGCCGGGCCAGGCGGGTCTTGCTGTCCTGAGGACCAGGGACTGTGTGCCCAGTGAACCCCAGAGTGTCCACCAGCCCCCTCCTGGCTTTCCCCCAGGAAGAAGCTCTCCAACTTCCTGCACGCCCAGCAGTGGACGGGGGCCTCCAACTACGTGGCAAAGCGCTACATTGAGACGGTGGCCAGGGACGTGTACTTCGAGGACGTGCGTCTGCAGATGGAGGCCAAGCTCTGGGGGGAGGAGTATAACCGGCACAAGCCCCCCAAGCAGGTGCGTGGCTCCCCCGGCTGCCTCCTCCCCGCCCAGAGCACGCGGGGCCAGTGGCTGGGGTGAGGGGCGCTGGCGGTGCCAGGGTCCTCTCTTCCCGCCCCGTAGTTAATGATCAATAACTATTCAGCGAACAGACTGAGCCACACTCGATGTCTGGAGTGGTTTGTCCCTAAGAGCAGACATCTGGAACCTGTCAGCCGTAAGAATTTTTGCAGATTCTGAAACCCACTTACACTGGCTTAAGCCAAAAAGGGAATCCACTGTTTTGTGCACCTGGCAAATAGTACCAACGGCAGGCGTGGCTGCGTCCAGGGCCAAACTGAGGTGATCAGGGGTCTTCACCCATCCTTGGCCTGGGTGTTCTGCACTGCCGTGCTGTCCAGCGGCCTTGCGCTTGCAGTGGTGTGTCCCTTCCAGCTGCAGGCTGTCTTTCTGTCTTCTCAGCGGTCTCGTTGGAATGACAACACCTATTTTCCCAGAAGTTCCAGTTTCAGACCTGAATTTCACTGGTTCTTCTCAGGACAGATGCTTATGCCTAAGCCAATCACGGTGACCGAGGTAGGGGGCTGTGCAGATTGGGTCGGCCTGAGCCTGTGCTTCCCCGGAGCCGGCAATGCAGAGCGTTTCACCCCGACCAAGAACTAAGACTGGGACGGGGTTGTTCCCAAGAACAAGCAAAAAGAGGAGGGCTGGGTGCTGTGTTGGGTCCCTGGAAGACTTGGGGCTCAGCAAGGTCAAATGACTTGCCTAGCCCGGCAGGGATGGAGCCGGGGCTCAAATCCAGGCCTTGCCGCCTTGTGCCAGGCTGGCCTCTCCACCTGAGCCCCCGGGGCGTGCTGTGACTGAGGCCCAGCACAATTTCTGTAGCCTGTGGGCACCTGAGGAGTCGCTGCTCCGTGCCTCTGCCCTGCCTCAGTTCCCGAGAACCCACTAGATCCCAGGCACTGGTTCCGGCTGCCTTAGTCAGCCCCTCTCTGAGCAGCCCGCAGAATTTCTCGAGCCCCTGCTGTTAGCAAGGCCCTTGATTAAGCACACTTGGAGGGAGGGGACCCAGGAATCCCTCACCGCTGTCCCTGAGCACCTACGCGTCCAGTAAACAATCATGCGGTGGAATTAGGGGAGGGAGATGAGGACGTGGTCTTGTGGGGCTGACCGTGCACTCAGCCTGTGCCACCGCCCCTCTCCCAGTGAGCCCACTAGCCAAGCAGGTGCCCTGTCACAGGCTTCCTTGCAGGACAGCCAGCGCTGGAGGCGGGAACGTTCCGAGAACCACCCTTCGCCCTCCCCCTCCCAGGCCGCTCTTTGACCTGGGCCCTCTCTGAGGAAGCTCTTGGCCTCAGCTCTGGGCTCCTTTGCTTCCGCAGCCGTTGTCCACCTGGGCAGTGACGCAGTCTCCCTGGAAGGGCATTTTCTTGGGAAACCCAGCCCTGGTGCCTCCGTGGGATGTGTGGCGTTGAGGGTGACAGGTGGTGGGAGTGAGTCTGTGTAACATGGCAGGAGCTGGAAGTCACAGGTCTTTGCTACCCCACTTTACAAACCATAGCACTTGCGCACTTTCTTCTGTGTATACAGAGTATTACGTCTACTGAGAATAATAATGTCCGAACCATTGACTGGCTCCATTACGGATACGTGTATCCACAAATTCAAGTTTTGTACTAAATCTGAAGTCTCCTCTGTACAGGTGTGGAAATGGAGCCACAGAGAGGTGAACTGTCTTGCCCAGATTCACAGTATTACTGCAAGACGCAGGCTAAGTTGCTAGCCAACAGATTTATGAATGTGTATCATTCAGTGTTTTCTTTCTCACTTGTGTAACAGTCCTACCCTGGAGTGGGGTGGCGCCTTGCAGCTTTGAAGTCATCCAGAGGCCTGGTTCCTTCTGTCCTGTTCTCTGCCAGCCCCAGTTACTGTGGATCATGAGGGCGGTTCTGAGGCACAGGCAGAGTCTACCTACAGGGAAGCTGTAGTTACAGCATTGTTGCTGCTTACTTCTCATTGGCTAGATGTGGTCATATGACTTCACCTAGCTGCAAGAGAGGCCAAGCAACATGTTCTTTATGATACCTCCTGGTTGTGCATCCTTTTGAAATTCAGAGACCAGGGTTTTTGTTCTAAAAGGAAAAAGGGAGAATGGATTCTCAGGACAGTCAGCAGTTCCTGCTACACAGAGCTAGTAAGTGATGAATCCAGGGTCTGAGCCCAGACGGAAGAGAACATACCTCTCCACGTCCCTGACCTTGTCCTTGACCAAGTCCCTCCTGCCAGGTGGACATCATGCAGATGTGCATCATTGAGCTGAAGGAGAGACCGGGCAAGCCCCTCTTCCACCTCGAGCACTACATCGAGGGCAAGTACATCAAGTACAACTCGAACTCGGGATTTGTCCGCGATGACAACATCCGCCTGACACCACAGGTAGGGCCCTGCGCTTGCTCTGCTATACCTGCAGCCTCCATTTAACCCAGTTCTTTGAGGCGAAGCCTGGCTAGGTCCCGCCCTTACAAGGGAGAATCCCTGCGAGTGTGAGGTTGCACATTCCCAGAGGCCCCTCACACCCCTTGGGGCATTCTGTATCGGGACACTGTCGCCTAGTGCCGGCTTCTATCAGCAGACTTAGGTGGCCCCAGACCTGTGCCCCTGCGGAACTGAGCAAGCCTCCTTTGTCTTTCCTGCTGTGATTTCTCCTGATGGAGACCCGCCACGCCCACACACACACGGGCAGACCCGGGCTCTTGTGAGCCCCAGCGTGGTGGCTGGCCAGTGTCTGCTCAGCCCACGGCTCAGTACCTTGCAGTCACCGTTCTTCAGTTGTGTGTGTGTGTGCTTCCCCCCTCCCCAGGCCTTCAGCCACTTCACATTTGAACGTTCTGGCCATCAGCTGATCGTGGTGGACATTCAGGGCGTGGGTGACCTCTACACCGACCCACAGATTCACACTGAGACGGGCACAGACTTTGGAGATGGCAACCTAGGTAAGGGGGGAAGGCCAGCCGGCTTTCATGAAGACCTCGCTCCCCGCTAAAACCTGCACGTTCTTTGCACACCCAAGGGAGCAGGCTGAGAGCGTGCTCGGCCTTCCCGGGTTCGTCGAGATGGCAGGCTGGGTGTCTGACGCCGCTTCCAGCTCAGCAGGTCTCCGCTGCCTCCCTTCCTGTTACTTAAACACCCCTGTTCCGTCCACAGGTGTCCGGGGCATGGCGCTCTTCTTCTACTCTCACGCCTGCAACCGGATTTGCAAGAGCATGGGCCTGGCTCCTTTTGACCTCTCGCCGCGGGAGCAGGACACCGTGAATCAGAACACCAAGCTGCTGGTGAGTACCAGTGAGACCCGCTCCTCCCTGCTGTCCTCTGCCAGCTAGACGGCAGGCCCCACGCAAGCCCTGCCTCCCTGTGGCCCAGAAATGTTCAACTGCGGAATATGAGGCCGGGGAAGACCCATCCCATCTGTGCCTCGCCCTGCGCACTCCAGCTCAGCACACTCGGGCCTCTTCTGTGCTCATAACAGACACTGACACCCGGTGAATAGTACGCCTGCGTTATTGCGGCTGATCAGGTCTGCAGTCTCCCAAACGAGTGGACGGCGAAGGCTAAGAGGCGAAGGGAATGATTTCAGGGCTCAGGAGGATGAAAGCCCTCTCACAGAATTCGTGATTCTCTTAGGGCTGAGTCCCCGACCTTCCCTGGGTGGCTGTATTTATTTGGTTATCAGAGGAAGGGAGGGGAGTACGCAAGAGGGGCGGAACCACTCAAGGACTTCTCCAAGTAAGGTATTAAGCTAATCCACCCAGGAGTGAGATGCCTGGGGCTGTAGTCTTTATCTAGTTGAGATCTAGTTGAGATCAAGGATCCAGGTGTCCCTGGCTGTGATTTTGTCTTATCCTTTGAGGCTTCCTGGCTTCATCTGCCATTACAGGTTCTAGTAGGGATCAGTGACTCACAGAGGTTCACTTACTATGAGTCCATCACCCACTTCCAGACAAGCAGCCCAGGCCTTGGACAGAGTCACAGGTGAACACGAAAAGGCAGTTGAGTAATTTAAGTCCCGCCCAGGGCCGCTTCGTAGTGGTCTCCAGCACACTGGCATCTGTTTGAGTTGGGCCTGTTTGTGACCAGGGGAGGAGAACAAGCAGGTGGAGAAGTGAGAGGTGGGAGGCGTGTGGTTGTGTGGACACTGGTGAATGAGTGTACTTGACTGAGACCTGGTTCTCTGGGCATCCTGCTGGGTGCAAGGGGAGATCCCTGCACCCCTGCTCCATGGACCGGGTGCAGGGCAGCACTGGCAAAGACTAGCTTGGGACTCTGGACGTGTACTGGGGTGTGTTCTCCATCTTAAGGTTGTAGAGCGTGGCCAGCATGCTGGCCAGGAGGATCGCAGGGCCCTGTTCCATGTATCCCTTCTTGCATGCTGTAGGTTGGTCCTGCACTGACTTTGGGGGGTTCCTATTAGGCGTGTATAAGCCCCTGGCTGAGAGGGCTTCAGGGTTAGAAGGAACAACAAAAAGAGCCCTTCCTCCCCCGGAGAATGCCGGAGTGACACGAATATCTGTTAATGTCCCCAGCAGTCAGCCAAGACCATGCTGAGGGGAACGGAGGAGAAGTGTGGGAGCCCCCGGGTGAGGACCCTCTCTGCCAGTCGGCCCCCGCTGCTCCGCCTGTCAGAGAACTCCGGAGACGAGAACATGAGCGATGTGACCTTCGATTCGCTGCCTTCATCCCCTTCTTCGGCCACCCCGCAGAGCCACAAGCTGGACCCCCTCCGTGAGTGATGGTGGGGCCCCGGCCACTGCGATGGGGGCAGGTGTCGGGCAGAGGTGGGTGACACTGGTTTTCACCGCGTGTTAGAAAATCAGGTGTACTAGCCAAAAAGGCTCATGGCTGCAGTGGTTTTACGGGTGAGTTGTTTGAGTGAACTGTTGAGATATGGGCCATCAAATGGTATAAAAACAACCTATTATAAAGACAAGGAAACACTTTTCACTGTGTTTCATGAAACACAAAAATTGACAGAACACCAAAAAAGAAAATTGCATACCAAATACAGGCATGTGCCACCATCCCTGGCTGTATCTCAGTCAGTTATTTAAAAATATAAAATCGGTTCTTATAGTCTCTCTCCCTCTCTCTCCTTCTCTTTCCCTCTGTCCCTCCCTCCCTCCCTCTGTCTCTTTCTGTCTCTGACTCTCTCACTGGGTATCAAAGTTAGGGCCTTGTACCTGCTAGGCATGCTCTACCACACAGCTATACCCCAGTCCTCCCCATTCTTACTAACTGTTGGGGCCAGGGTTTGTGAGGGAAAGGAATTAATACAGGACTCATCATTTATAAGATTACTTTATAATAGTCACCCAAAGAGGCAAATACAAGACAGTGCAGGAAATCTGCCCTCACACTAGAGACCCAAGAATCCAGCTGAGGGCCTGGACCCCATGGCACTGTCCTGCATGAGTTCAGCTGAAGACCTAGAGCCCATAACACTGCCTTCCATGAGTCTAACTGGAGGCCAGGAGCCCATAACAGTGTCTCATGCAGGGCTGTGTCACGGATCTGTGCTGGGCAGGCCCACAGGTCAGTGGTGGAATCTAGGAAGTCTGTGCCAGTGGGGTGAAGGATCTGTGCCAGCAGGCTGAGGGGTCTGCACTGGAGCCAGGAAGCGATGCTCAAAGTAAGGACCAGAGCTCCCCTGAAGAGAACTGGAGCCATCCTCAGCGACAGTGAGGTCCCGAGCTCCTCCAACAGTGAGAACAGCGGAGCTCACATCAGGAAAGCCAGCACAACAAGCTCCTCCAGGAGAACCCACAGCTCCACCTCCTCCTCTCCAGTTCTCCTGTTTATGCTGTTGGCAACGATCCTCTGGGGAGCTCTGATTTAGTTCAGCTGAGTGTCGCAAGTTGACCACCAATTATGGATGCACTGCACCAACTTCATGGAAATAGGCAGCCACATACATGCGGCTTAGGAGAGCTTAGGGCAGGAGGCAAAACTAGAGACTTACCAGGAGAGGAAGCCATCTGGCGTGCACCCGTTGGGTCCGAAGTGCGCAAGTAACCCTTCTTTCTTCACAACTGTACTTTTTTGCTTTTTTTTCTCTTTGAGACAGGGTCTTGCGATGTAGTCCAGGCTAATTTTGAACTCACTATGTAGCCCAGGCTGGCCTCAAAATCATGACAGTCCTCCTGCCTCAGCCTCCCGAGTGCTGGGGTTATACCTGCACTTTATTCAGATCCAGGCATGTGGAGAAGCACATTACCCGTTCAATGACATTCTGACTGTCGAGGAGCCACAAGGGGAGGCCACTTGCTCCGGACTCCGCAGGTGGCAGGTGGCAGTCGTAGAATAAGTGCTCAAGAAAGAACTGCAGCTCCCTAGGGACAGATAACATTTCCCACATTTTGTGCCTTCCTTTAAAAATTAAAAATAAAGGCTTGGTGACAGGTGTCTGTGACCGTACCAGCAGCGAAGTCAGCTCTTCGTCTTTGTCTCTGTCCAGATTGGCCGGTGTTTGGTGACCTTGACAACATGGCGCCCAGAGACCACGACCATCTGGACAACCACCGGGTGAGAATGGGGAGGCAAACCTTGGGTTCCAGCGCCCGGCAGGGTGGGAGGAGCGGGCTCTCTCCGTGCGAACTGGAGGCCAGCCTAGCTTCAGGTGGGCAGCCCTGCCCAGGTGTCCTCCAGGCACTGAGGCGGGCATGGGATCAGGGCGGCAGGAGGAGGTGTTTGAATCTCAGAGCTTTCCTCCTGGAAGAGCTCAGTCCATGGCAGTTCCTGGAGGTGCTTAGGAAGAAGTGTTCCAGACCAGCTTCTAGGAAATGCCAGCCTCAGCCCTGGGTTTGCTGTGGCCTCGCATGTGTGACTGCTGGGATCTGTACAGAGTCTCAGACGTGAGACACGGTGCAGGTGCTCGCCAGCTGAACAGACAGGGTGTTTTCTGCAGCTTAGGTTGGACCCTGAACTAAGGAACTAAAGGTGAGGTGTTCACATTCACCCAAGTGAACACTCTGACATCAAACTGAAAATGTACCAGGGGCTGGGGATTTAGCTCAGCGGCACAGCGCCTGCCTGGCAAGCGCAAGGTCATGAGTTCGATCCCCGGTACCGGAAAAAACAAACAAACAAACAAACAAATCAGTGAGCAGACTTAGCAGAAATGCTGCACTTCTAGATGCCGCCATTGCACTTGACGCTGTACTCGCAGATTGTGTCAAAAGCTCAGGTCCACTTTTTTTTTTTTTTTTTTCCATTTTGAGACAGTCTTGCTTGGGCGGTAGCTATATGGGAGTTTATTTTAGCATTCTTGATTTTTATTTGTTGAAGTACTTCTTAGTAGAAGAAGGAAGAAAATAAATGCATGAGGTGACTAATGCTGCCCCTGCATGCACAATCAGGCGGAACCCTAAGTTAGTAGGAAGACGCTCGAAAGATTCTAACTGATGCCTGATTCCCTTTCAGAGTAGAGCTCCTATCTAGGAGATAAAAAATACGTTCACGGGGGTGTGTGCAGTTTTGGGGGAGGGCTTCATGGGGGTAAATAGAATTCCCAGGGCTGTGTTTTGTGTGCCGGTCGTAGCCCTTAAACCACCCTTCACTCTCTGCCTGTGAAGTGGGTGGGCTGCTCTTAACCTCAGTGCCCACGTGACCTCCGTTCTCGGAGTTCTCACCGCGCCCTAATGGAGGTGCTTAAAACGAATCCCACAGCCAGGGAACCCGGAGCTCAGAGAGGGTGAACAGCTGCCCAGGTCGCAGCTGGTGAGTAACCAGGTAAAGGTCAAGCCCAGGCCTCCTGCAGAGCCCAGGCCGCTTCCGCTGTGTCCCGCAGCTCTCGGTCTCCCGCCCAGCAAGAGGTAGGAGGAAGGTGACAGGGAGAGGGGCGGATGCCTGGATGGCCGCATGTCACCGCATCAGGTACTTGGAGGACCCCAGGGCCCTGAGATCGTCTTCTTTCCACAGGACTCTGAGGCCAGTGGGGATAGCGGATTCCCCAGTGAGAGGAGGGGTGAGCTGGATGACCCTGAGCCCCAGGAACATGTAAGCTCCGCTCCCCGGGCAATGAGATCAGAGTTGCTGTTGCCTCAGTTGTCCTCCAGGAGGATAAAAAGCTAGAAGGACACTGGGTGTAGTGGTGTACGTCTGTAATCCCAGCACTCGGGAGGCTGAGGCAGGAGGATCACCATGAGTTCAAGGCCAGTCTGGGCTACATAGTGAGTTCCAGGCCATAGAACTACCCTGTATCAAAAAAAAAAAAAAAAAAAAAAAAAAAAAAAAGCTAGCGGGGTGGTTGTATAAGTGGTAAACTAACAAGATTTTTTCCTGATGAGAATGAACGCAGGGGGGCCCGTGGCGCAGTCGGTTAGCACGCGGTACTTACATGAGCGTGAACATGGGGAGGCGGGCAGAGCAGGGACTTCCGGAAGGGGACAGGGGTGGAGGGTGGGCGCACGGTCGAAAGTGGTGGGCAGCTCTCATCGTGAAGCTGGGGCCTTTGCCTGCCGAGGAGCGGGATGCTGAGTATGAGGTTGGAGCAGTGTTTGTGCAGGTGGCGGGCCGGCTCAGAGGCGGGGCATCCTGGCAGCCTCCAGGGTATGAGCCGCCCAGAGCCCTCACCTGTGCCAGAACTGAGGTGGGCGTCGAGGCCGTTTTGCTGGGCAGCCCTGGCCCCAGCTCTGTGACTGCACTAGCAAGCAGACAGGAGGGGCCTTGGCCTGAAGAAGACCGGCGCACCTTCTCCCAGGGGCTCTGCGCAGGGTCCTGAGCCTTCGGGCTGGTTCCCTGTTCAGGCCGGGACAGGAAGGGGAGCGCCGAGTCCACGCCAGTGCGTGGTGTCCGCCTGCCGGCCACCCGGCGGCCCTTCGCCCTGCAGACGAGGGTTCCAGCTTTCCTGGGCAGGGTCGGACCTGCTCCCCGGAAGGGGGGCTCTGGGGGGCAGCTGTGTGCGGCACTGTGGACCAGTTCGGGGGGTGGGTCCCGGGAGGAGGTCCACCCCTTGGACTCTTGGTGTCTGCTTCCACCCAGGGCCACTCGAATGGCAGGCGGAGGTCGGAGTCCGACGAAGACAGCCTGGGCAGTGCCGGACGGGTAATGCGCCCCTGGAGCCCCCGTCCCCTCGGCCGGCCCCTCTGGGCTCTGTTGCTGTTCCCGCCCTCTCCTGCTGCTGTTGCCTCTGCCCGCCTTGCACATGTCCACTCCGCCACGGCGCAATATGAGTCACCTGGGAAAATTTAGTCCCGTCCTGGGCTGGATGTGGACTCTGGGGCACTTTAGAGAAGATTTGGTCCTGAGGGGAAATGACAGCGACACTGTTAATGGGCTAGAGTGCTGAACTCAGAGGCGCCTCAGAGCCTGAGTTTATGCCTGCCGGCCGCCACTGAGGCAGGCTGCTGTTATTCATCCCCCGCCTAACGCACATTCTCTTTTATTTTTTTTTTTTTTTGCAATACTGGGGATCAAACACAGTAGTACTCCACCACTGGGGGACATCGCAGCCTGCCTTCTTTTCTTTCTTTCTTTCTCTCTCTCCCTCCCGCCCTTCAATAGGATCTCACTAAATTGCCCAGGCTGGCCTTGAACCCACCATGCCCAACTTTTTCATTCCCATTTTGTTCGTGAAAACTAAGCAGGCATAGTGGCGCACGCCTGTAATCCTGGCACTCGAGAGGCTGAGGCAGGAGGATCACTGTGAGTTTGAGGCCAGCCTGGGCTACATAAATGAGTTCAAGTACAGGCTGCACTACATAGTAAGGTCCTGTCTCAAAAGACAGAGAGGGAGGGAAGAAGGAAGAAAGGAAGGGAGAGAGGACAGACTAAAATCCTAGGCAGCTTTCCCAATTATCAGCTAGTCCAGGTTGAGTAATCCTTGTTAGAAGTGTTGGGACTTCCAAGTGTTTGAGTTTTTCAGTTTTCAAATATTCGCGTGTACATAATGAGATGAATTGGGGGCGGGACTCAAGTCTGAACATGAAATTCATTTATGTTTCATACACACCTTAGATGATAATTTTATACATCATTTTTAGTGTGCCTGGTTTTGACCGAGGCCTGTGCCGTGAGGTCAGTGGGAGTTTCCCACTTGCAGCATCGCGTTGGTACTGAAAACATTTTGGATTTTGGAGCCTTTCTGGTGTTGGGTTTTCAGGCTGGGGTGCTCAGCCTGTGTGTAATAAACGCAGTCTCTCAGACGGTGGTTGGCATCCAGCAGATCTGGGAAAGACCAGCCCTGCATCCCACGACCTCTTCCCCGGCTGACTCCCGAACTCCTCACCCTCTGAGCCTTTGCTAAGAAGCCGCCTGTCTGCAGGGTCCTTCCTCCTCCTCTGACCGCGCTGCCGCAGCTGCCCCCGCTCCCCGCCCTGCAGACGTCGCTCTCGCCCCCTCCTGTGCTGCCTGTTCCCTGGGGCTAGTCCTCAGTCAGGCTGGGGGGCTCCGCAGCCCGTGCGGGGCGGGGTTGCCCAGCGGCAGCACACCGCCGCCCCGGCTGGCGCGCACTCTGTAGCGGGCACGCCGTGTGCGCCGCAGGAGGTGTAGCACGCGTGTGCGGAGCACAGAGCCGCCTGTCTCGCTCTGCAGGAAGCTTGCGCAGGGCATCTTTGGCGGGAGGAGCGGCGCTTTCTGAACCCATTCCTTGGAGCGCCCTGCTGATTTGCCCAAGTGTCCCGTTGATTCACAGACCAAAGCAAGTGGATTTGCTCAAGTCCGGCGTTTTGGGCAGCTTGTGTGGGGAGCTGGGAAGGAGGAGGCCCCTGCTGAGAGGTGAGGGAAGATGCTGCTCCGAGCTGCCGCCGGCCCTTCCGCTGCTGGTGTGTCCCGGGCTGCAGTCTCTCTGCACCCACGGGCTGCTGGCACGTAAATTTCTAGAACTGAAGGCAGCAAACTTGGACGCTGAGGACTCGCCTCCCCTCTCTGTCCAGCCAGGCCCCGCGCCCAGCCCCCCTGCGCTGTCTGGCTGTAAACACCCCCTGCCTGGCTGTGTCCCTTAGGTCTGTGTGGAGAAGTGGAACCTCCTCAACCCCACCCGCCTGCACCTGCCGAGGCCTTCCGCTGCGGCCCTGGAAGTACAGAGGCTGAACGCCCTGGAACTTGAAAAGAAAATCGGGAAGTCCGTTTTGGGGAAGGTATCTGTGCTGCCCCCTTGGAGGTCCCCCCGTACTACCCAGAGCCCCCGGCCCGCGGCTCCCCGCGCTCACCTCCTCCCGCAGGCTGGCCGGGCTTCCCGGGTGCGGCTCCAGCCTCCCAGGCAGCCGGGCCACACGCAGCGTGTGTGGCAGGTCCACCTGGCCATGGTGCGCTACCACGAGGGCGGCCGCTTCTGCGAGAAGGGCGAGGACTGGGACCCCGAGTCGGCCGTCTTCCACCTGGAGCACGCCGCCACCCTGGGCGAGCTGGAGGCCATCGTGGGCCTGGGGCTCATGTGCTCACAGCTGCCCCACCACATCCTGGCCGACGTCTCTCTGAAGGTGAGGGGGCGGTGGAAGGCAGCAGGAAGGGGGGCTCGGCTCCCCCGTCACTGGCCAGCCTTCCTCGCGGGGGTTACTCCCGCCTCCTGCAAGGGCACGCGTGCCTCTTAACTGTTCTGCTGAATTCCTGAAAGTTTGGGTCTATGCTTGTGGGCCTGTCTGAGCCCACTCCTGTGCACCGCTGCGTTCCAGCCTGGCCCGGCACCCGCTGAGGGCTCCCAGACACGGGGAGGCCTGTGTGAGGAACGCCTAGGACGGTGCGAGGGCCAGAGGGCCAGGACAGGACCGCGGGGCATCCCGTCTCCGGCCCATCTCTGCAACGCCCTGACCCTGTGACTGCCGCTGTGTTAGCGCTGCACCCAGCGGCGCAGTACAGGGCCTAAGAAGCTCCTAGTCTAGATTCCCAGGCTCGGAGCGGCAGCTTCCTCTGGCGGGAGTGGGGTTGCCAGGAGCAGGGTGTCTGTGAGAAAGAAGTAGTGCTCAAGGCAGCCTCGTGGCTGAGCAAGCGATGACGGCTGTGAGCCCGAGAGGCCCCTGGGTGCCCGAGAGAGCCCCTCTCTCCCCTCCAAGTGCCGCGCTCTGGACGTTTTCCTGTTGTCTTGCTACGGCAGGCAGTTATTCATGGTCACACGCAGTTAGGGAGCATGTCCTACACTCCGGGTAACGCCCGAGTGTAACCAGTTCTTATCCTGAGGCTGACCGAGAGTGAGGTCCAGGGCCGCAGCGGCAGGGAGTGAACCGAGCAGCGTTTATAAGAAAGAACAAAGAAAAGCTGCTGCGAACGGAAAGGGAGGACACGGAGGAGGCGCCCCCATTCAGGGTTTTGTGCACTTCGTTGGGCTGTTTTGGAGAGCGTGCAAAAAATGAGAAGGGACGGTACGGGTGCTGCATTTATGAGGGTTCTGACGTCGGGAAGAGGAGTCTCCCTCGCACCCGCGGCTCCCAGCCCGGGCCTCAGTCTACCCAGGCCCCCGTCCTGTGAGCACAGACTCTTCCTGCTTCCCTGCCCTCTCGCTTCCTGGTCTCGCTGTATTCGCAGCGAGAGTGAGACAGGCGAGGTCCCTGCTCTCATGGAGCGGACTGTTTGGATGGAAAGGCTTATTAGTACGGGTAATGAGGAGCAAATGAAAGGCCTCCACCGTAATTAAACATAATCTCCACTGAGATCTTTTACTGTGCTAAGTATTGTTCTAAAGTGCCAGGGAGAAATGTTACTGAATGTGGTAGGAGGCTAGATAGGCCCGTCATGGCGGACACAGGTTCTGGCTGCAAGGGAGGCTGGGAAATGTAGTCTTGGGCTGGCTAACCGAGGCTTCTCAGAGCCACGGCTGGAAGAGCCCTATGTACACAGCGGGGAGTCCCTGAGAAGCTTTCGGAAGGTTGAGGGCGTCACAGGCTATTGTGAGGGCTTTGGATTTGTCTCTGAGCGAGACAGGAAGCCCTGGGCCGTTTTCAGAGGGGAGCGTGACCTGGTTTAGGCTCTGCAAGCATCTTCCGTGCTGCTGTGGGTCTCGGGGAGCAGAACGGAAGCAGGGGCCTCCTCACTGATTGTGGGAGGCACCGTGGTGCAGCGCTTGGGGGACTGGCCGGATGGCACCCCAAAAGCCTCAGCGGCCCATGTGGGGATGCGCACCTGGAACTCCAGCTGACCCAGGAGGCTGAGGAGGGAGCTTTGCAAGCTCAAGCCCAGCCAAATGAAATTTTAATTTAATTAATTAATTTTTTTAATTTAAAAATTTTTTTTTCGGTACCAGGAATCAAACTCACGACCTTGCCCTTGCCAGGCAGGCGCTGTGCCACTGAGCTAAGTCCCCAGCCCTAAATTAATTTATTTTTTTGGTACTGGGAATCGAACTCAGGACCTCGTGCTTGCCAGGCAGGCACTTGTGCCGTTGAACAACATTCCCAGCCCTGAAAATAAAATATTAAAAAGGCTGTAGCTGTAGCTCAGTGGTAAAGTGCTGACATGTATGAGGTCCTGGGTTCAATCCCCAGATGCACACATACACATACACACACACGCACGCACATGCACACACACACAGAGGCTTAACATAGGTACATGTGACCTCAATTCACTGAAGTAGCTATATGTTCAAGAGAATAACTATGTACATCTGTGCAAAAACTTGTACATAGGTGGTCATAGCAACACTATCCGTCATAGCCATAAAGTATAAATAACAGATGAGCAATACACACAGTGTGATATATCCATACAGTGGAATATTATTTTGTCATAAACAATGGAATTCCAATGCTTGCTACAACATGGATGAACCTTGAGAACATGATGTGAAGGGATAGAAACCAGACCTAAAGCGCCCCAGTTCTATGGTCCCGTTCATATGAAATGTCCAGAATCCATAGAGATAGAACACGGACTGGGTGGAGTGGAGAAATTGTGGGTGGGGAGCGATTGACGGTTAAAAGGAATTGTACTTCTTTTTCGGTTGATGAAAATATTCTGAAAATTGATTCTAGTGCTGATTGCACAATTCCATGAATGTACTAAAAACCTGTGATGTGTAATCCCAGCACTCTGGGAGGCTGAGGCAGGAGGATCACAAGCTCAAGCCCAGCCTGGACAACTTAGTGAGACCCTGTATTTAAAAAAAGAGGGGCTGGTGGGGCGAGACGGGGGGTGTATCCTACTGCAGAGGCCTTGGGTTCAGTCTCCAGCACCACAGACACACACACACACACACACACACACACACACTACAGTATCTCTGGCTCAGGGTTCTCAAAATAATTCCAAGAAACGGGGAGAAGACCGATGGGTAAGATCCTGGCACCCCCCTTCCCTTTGACCATGCTCTGTTTGCTTTTTTCTGCCCTTCTTGGCCTTTACTGATAGGACACAGAAGAGAATAAAACGAAAGGATTTGACTACTTACTGAAGGCAGCCGAAGCTGGTGACAGACAATCCATGATCCTCGTGGCGCGAGCTCTTGACACCGGCCAGAACCTCAGCCCCGACAGGTACGCGGCTGGCGCTCAGGCGCAGCTGGGGGCAGTGTGGGCTGCAGGGGGCCCTGCGTCGGGGTTGCGACACACCCGGCTTCCAGCCTCGGCTCCGACCTCTACCAGTCCGGTGACCACGGCCAAGTTAGCTTGCCTCCCCGGACCCTGTTTCGTTGTGTGATCAAGTGGGAATGGTTACAGTCCTGTCTCCTGGGAAGGGTCCAGGACGGGAACTAGAATTCTCACCGTGCCCATGAAGCACATGGTAAGTGGTAGCCATTTTAGCCAGTGTGTGTAAAGCCTGAGGAAAACATCTGAAAGGTCCTACAGCGTCAGGTTCAGAGTAGTGTTCCTTGGTTGTAGAGTATCGATGATTTTAATTGACCCCTCCTACTTTTGTTGTGTCATTTCTTTCATTTAAGAAGGAGGGGAAAGCCGGGCGTGGTGGCCCACACCTGTAATCCCAGCACTGGGGAGGCTGAGGCAGGGGGATCATTGTGAGTTCAAGGCCAGCCTGGGCTACAAAGTGAGACTCTGTCTCAAAAAGACCAAAAAAAAAAAAAAAACCAAAACAAAACAACAAAAAAAGAGTTCATCTCCCTCGCTGAGTCTAGCGGGAAGGCTAGGTCTGTGGTTCTGTCAGGCTTTTGGGCTCAGTGCCTGTCACACAGTCCTCACACGCATCAGATCCCGGGGTAACAGCCGTGCCTCTCACCCTTGATAACACCGTCGGGCCTTGACGTCACTGCGAGCGGGCGCCGGATCGCCTGCGTCTGGGACCCAGTGCTGTGCGCAGGGTCTGACCTCGTGGTTGTTTGAGTGAATGCACAAAGCAGCTCCATGTACAGACAAGCGGGTACGTGGGGGCCCGTCTGAGGGGTGACTGAACCCTAGTTCTGAGAAGTGGGGGCTTGCCTGTGGTCAAGGGCAGGTTGAGCATCCTTTACCCCCAGTATTCAGAATATTTGCATTTACAAAGGAGGCATCTTGGGGGTGGAATCCAGTTCTAAATGTGAAATTCGTTTGTTTCATACACACCTTGGACACATACCCTGAAGGCAGTTTTGTGCGATACTTCTAGTGCACCTGCAGCACCCGGTCAGCCTGGGAGCACATGAAATCAGGTGTGGAATTTCCCACTTACTGGCTCAGCCTAACACGCTGAATTTGGAGCGTTTTGGATTTTGGATTTTCAGATGAGGGATCTGCAGCTGTACTAGTAAGTGGCAGAGCTGGAACAGGTCTTCTCACCCTTCTTCCTCTCTGCTCTCGTGCCTCTCTGCGGAGTTAGAACTGCACTGACGAGGGGAGGTCAGCAGAGAAGAACTGGCACGACTGTATCAGACCAGATGCCAATGAGTGTGGGGCCCTTTGAGCACACTGGAGAAGCAAGCAGGGATAGGGCAGGGTGGAGCCGGGCACTGGATATGTGCATCTGAGATCCCTAAAAAGTCTTTCCCAGCTGTGCTTTCTTTTCTTTTCTTTTTTCTTTTTGTTGAGACAGGCTCTCGCTATGTAGTTCAGGCTGGCCTTGAACTCACTTTGTAGCCCAGGCTGGCCTCGAACTCACAGCGACCCCCTGCCTCAGCCTCCCGAGTGCTGGGATTACAGGCCTGCGCCACCACGCCCAGCCCTAGCTATACTTTCTAGGCTTGTCTTTTCTCTACTTTTTATTTCTATTCATTTAGTTTCATGTTGTCCTACTTTTAATTTTATTTACAGTGATAGTTTCTTATTGATTTGTCAGAACTCTTTATATATTAAGGCTATTAACTCTTGGTACATATTTATCTTTAAAATAATTTTTATCAGAGATGGCTACCATAGTTGGGGGGGCACATATGTCACATAATCAACACTGTTTATTGGGCTTGGGGACACACTGTTTTTGGTTTTTGGTTTTATTGTTTGTTGAGACAGGATCTCATTATGCAGTTCAGGCTGACCTTGAACTCACCATGTTGCCCAGGCTGGCCTTGAATACAACAGTGATCGTCCTGCCTCTGCATCTCAAGTGCTGGGATTACATGCCCGGCTGACTCACTGGATTTTAAAAGGTTTTGGTCCTCAGAAGTTCTGTCTAATGGGGAATGAGAGGTCATAGAAAATTCCAAGGCATGGCGTGAACCCTCACCCGTGAGACAATGAGGGAAATTAGGCCTTTTCCCTTTTGATCTACTCAGGGAAATTCTGCTTTGCCCTTTAGGACTGAGGAGGGTCAGAGATAAAAGGGGTGAAGTCATCCATTCTGGTAGCTTCTAGTCCAGTGTTACAACCATAGTTTTTGGGTACCTTGCCAATAACTTTCAAATGATTTCTATTTTTAATAAGATCAAATAAAGTCATAGTTAGCTCCTGAATATCATCCCTAACAGCCACTTGTTCATATTTATTCACTCAACAAACGCTCACTGAGCCGGGTGTGGTGACACACGCCTGTAATCGTAGCACTTGGGAGGCCGAGGCAGGGGGATCGTTGTGAGTTCGAGACCAGCCTGGGCTACAAAGTGAGCTCAAGACCAGCCTGAACTGCATGGCGAGACCCTGTCTCAAAAAGACAAAAACCAACCAAACAAACAGACACACACTTACTGAGCCTGTGCTCCTAGCCAGGCCTTGGGACTGCAGCAGTAAACAACAGGCCAGGCTTGTCTTCTTGTGCCTTATGCGGAGGCGGAGGAGACCACGACAAAGAGGTGCAAGGAGAACGAGGGGTCACAGTAATCGTAAGAAGCGGGGCGTCTGGAGACAGCGCCTCTTAAGAAGGGACCTATGCGCTGGGGCTGGCAGGGTGAGGAGCCAGGCGGGGGCAGAGTTAGGGGAGGATGTCCCACGGCCGGGGCGGCAGGTGCGGGCAGGGGCTGGCACGTGTGAGCGGAGAGAGAACAGCCGCCCAGAGTGGAGGGCAGGGGAGTCCGAGACAGGGTGGGAGGGACAGCGGCCGTCAGCGCTGCTCTGGGCACTTTGGAGGACACCGTGGCCGTCCTTACCGGTGACTCTGCTCTTTCCTGATGCTGTAAGCGGTTACTCCTTGAGACGCAGCCCGGCGCCCTTAGCTCTGAGCGTTGCGTTGCGTGGGTTTGGCCGGAACCTGCACTGCCGCCGTGGACAGTTTGGCCGTGTGTGTGCTGCTGTAGGAAAGGAGCTGGCGCGGGAGGGCGAGTGACGGGGGAAGCTGCCTCGGGCCAGGAGAGACTGGAGCCGCCCAGGCAGAGCAAAGGGGGCTGTGTGCTGGCGAGCGCTCCGACGCTCCGGCGGCCTCTGCAGAGCGTGTTCTGCCCGCCCCGTCTCCTGCCTGCCTCAGAGGACACCCGGCCGCTGCAGGTGCCAGCCCGCGGGGTGTGTGTGACATCTAGAGAAAGGCCCTTTTAGATGGAGGAGTCCCTTAGGTGGAGCGGCCTTAGGAACTAGAGGTTGCGCGCCAGAGGTGCTGGCCCTGCCCTCTGCCACCGCCCTGCTGCCGTGGTAACAACCCCCTTCCCCTCTTCCTCCCCGGCAAGGTGCCGAGACTGGCTGGAGGCCCTGCACTGGTACCGCACCGCCCTGGAGACCACGGACTGTGACGAGGGCGGCGAGTTCGACGGGATGCAGGGCGAGCCCCGCTACGCGCTGCTGGCCAGGGAGGCCGAGATGCTGCTCACGGGAGGCTGCGGCCTGGGGAGGGACCCGCAGAGGTCAGGTGAGGCTGGCGGGCCGGGCTGGAGTTCCCACCCTGCTGGGATTGTGGCACGGTTTCGGGCGGAGCTCTCCGCCCAGGGGAGGGTGTGTGGGGCTGGTGTGCAGGTAACTTTTCCTTCTTGAGCAGTGGGATTTGAACCCAGGACCTTCACACGGAGCTCCGTCCCCAGCTCTTGCTTGCTTGCACTCTGTCCCTCCCCCCCTCCCTCTCCTCCTCTCTCTCCCTTTCTCTTCCTCTCTGTCTTTCTCTCCTTCTCTCCCGCTTTCTCTCTCCCTTCCCGCCCTCCCCTCCCCTCCCCGACAGAGCCTTGCAGGATCACTGAATGGCCGGGCTGGGCTCACACGCGCAGTCCTCCCGCCTCAGCCAGAGTGCTGGGGTCATGCGTGCCACCACACCCAACTTAAAAACCCTTTTTGAAAGTTGTGTCTGCGCTAAAAAGATGCGCTTTTCTTGCCGTTATTCCCTGAAGGGTACAGTAAAGCCACGGTCTGCATGGCATGTGTGGCATTAAAGATGGTAAGTGTGGTGCGTTGCCAAGATGATTTAAAGTGCATGGCTGGATATACGGAGGTCATTTGCACGTGCTGTACCATTTTACTTTGGCGTCCACACTGGATCCTGAAACCAACCCCCGAAGGACGCTGAGGGACCGCCGGGTATTTGTGTTTGGGAGGGGGGGTTCTTTCAGTTTAAAAAATTGAGCTGCAGTTTTTCTTAGCTTAAAATTTACCGTCTTAAAACGTACAGTTTAGTGGACCGTGGAGTTTTCGTAGCAGTGCACAACCCTCACCGGTACCTGTCTCCACACACTTCCGTGCCCCTGAGAAGAGACCCGTTCCAGTGAGCGGTCCCCCGCCGCCCCCGCCCGTGTGTAGTGTGTCTCTGTGGGGTATTTGCCACCTTTAGTTTATCCATCAGTTGATGGACTAGTTACATATATTTTTTCTGTCACACAAATGTATTCATCTGCATGAAGGGATTTAAGACTTAGACTTAGACAACAGAATTTTGTTTTCATTTTTTGTGCTCTTTTGAGACGGTCTCACTTTGTAGGTCAGCTGGCCTTGTGCCTCAGCCTCCGCCTCCCGGGGGCAGGGAGTAAAGGCTTGAACCACTGTGCGCAGCTAAACTTTGGTTTTAAACCCAAGGCCTCATGCGTGCGGGGCAGGTGCCCTGCCACTCAGCTACACCCCCGGCACCCCCAAATGTATTTCTCATCGTTCTAGAGGCCAGGACTCCCAAGGTGCTGGCCAGTTCTGGTTCCGGCAAGCAGTCACCTTCTCCGTGTCCTCACAGGGCCTTTCTTCTGTGTGCAAGTACAGAGAGAACAAGCTCTGCTCTCTCTTCCCCCCGCTCCCAGGGCCCCAGCGCCCTCTGTCAGGGCCCACCCCAGTGATCCCATGTAACTCTGCCAGTCTCTGAGCTCGGCTTCCCAAGACAGTTACACTGTGGGTCCAACATGAGAGTTTCTGATGGGGAGCCCAGAGACGTCCTATGTACATCCCAACCTTCACATAAAATAAACATACTGGGCTGGGTTCCCAGGTGCAGAACGAAGCTAAACATCAGAAGTTTGTTTTCTGGGGGCTGGGGATTTAGCTCAGCGGCACAGCGCCTGCCTGGCAAGCCTGAGGTGGTGAGTTCGATTCCCTGTACCGGAAAAAAAAATTTTTTTTTTTTTAAATTGTAAAAAAGGTGGCGAAGATGTAACTCGGTGGGAGAGTGCTTGCCTAGCATGTCCTGGGTCCTGAGCACCATCCTCCAGCACCCAAAGGGAAAAGTTGTGTTTTTTGAAATTAGCAAATAATAAAGCACATCTAGAACATCCTGTTTGAAATTCCTAAATCCAGCATGCTCTAAGAACCCGGAGCTTTGGCGACCTGTAACCGTGCTGATATTCAGCCTTTATTCCACTTTCGTGCGCTCTCAGGGCCTTCTGCAAAAGTCCCCATCCCGGCCCTCGCTGGCTCAGACAGAATCACTGCTCATCCCTAACCAGTCACCTCGGTCGCTGAGATGGCTTGTTTCCTCTGCTGGGCCGTGCCTAAGTCGGGAGCAGTCCACAGGGAGCGGGATGGAGGAGCGCTCTGATTGGTCCGGTTAGATCACATGCTCTCCTGTGGGTCTTCAGGCCCTGGAAGGAGAGGGCACAGGGGTGGTTTGAGGGTGCTCTGCTGGCCGAGGAGGGGCTGGCAAAGACCGTGGGTGTTCACGTCTCTGTGCCCCGCTCTGCTCTCTTTTAGGGGACTTGTATACCCAGGCCGCAGAGGCGGCGATGGAAGCCATGAAGGGCCGGCTCGCCAGCCGGTACTATGAGAAGGCCGAGGAGGCCTGGGCCTGCATGGAGGACTAGCGCGCCTGGAGAGGCACACCAGCCGGCCCGAAGCAAAAGGGCCGGGAAGGACTCGGGAGGCATTTCGCCTGGGAGGGGAAGAGTATTTTTGGGGTGCTGTAAATCGCCTTTTGTATTTCACTTTTTTGACTCTTGAAGAAATCTTTGCTACCAGCGGAGATGCTACAGCTCTCCCTTAAGACAGTATTTGGGATGCCGGGCGCGGTGGTGCACGCCTGTAATCCCAGCACTCGGGAGGCCGAGGCAGGAGGATTGTTGTGAGTTCCAGGCCACCCCGGGCTACAAAGTGAGCTCAAGGCCAGCTTGAACTACATAGCGAGACCCTGTCTCAAAAAGACAGAAAACAAAAAGACAGTATTTGGGGTTGGTAGTGCCAGCTAATGAACCAACATACTGCTTTGTCGTAAGATGTAAACAAGTGCTTTTCGGCCTCGGATGGACAACATTGGGGCTTTGCTCATCAGCTTTTCAGGCTGGACTCAGATTTTAGGCCCCAGGAGCCCCGGGGCTCTTGGGAAGTTGGAGCTGTTCCCTTCCCGTGGGGTGTGTTTTGACCTAACAGTGCAGCGCCTCCTGCAAGCGTTGGGAAGCGCGCAGCGTCTCTCAGGGGCTGTGAGGCTGCTCCATACCCAGGCGCTCTCCACACCCTGAAAGGGCCTGCGCACGGAACACCGTCTCACTTTTTACTTTAATCTCTTCCCACCGTGGGCCTGATTCTCGGGCATCCGGCCTCCTTCCGTTTCTTAAGCTTGCTTTTTGCTGTGGGCTCTGCAAAAGAGGTTTGGCTTTCACATGCACACGCTCACTACCTCTGACTCCTGTATCCGCTCCTGCGGAGGAGGGGCGCCCCCGAGCGCTCACACGGAGGGGCGGTGGGCTGGGCACGTGGGAGACGGTCCTCCACCCAGACGTGTTCCCTGCTCCTCGGGGCGGCACCCACGGTGAAGGGCCCTGCGCAGTGTCCTCGCCTCTGTCTGAAGTGAAGATGTTCTGCGGAGTCCGCTCCCAGCCCTCGTTCTGCTGGAGCTGTGCTGATTTTTTTTTAATCACTTGCAGCCCCCTGAGATTTATCTACGATGTCTGAGGCGAGAGGGCAAGAACTGTAAACACTCATTAATTCCAGTCGTTTCCCCAGGGCCAGGCTGCAGTTCTCTTTATTTAATGATCTTTCTTTTTAAAAGAAGTTCAGGGCCAAGTGTGGTGGCCCATGCCTGTAATCCCAACACTCAGGAGGCTGAGGCAGGAAGATTGCTGTGAATTCAAGGCCAGTCTGAACTGCATAGTGAAACCCTGTCTCAAAAACACACACACAAAAAAAAAAAGGAAAAGGAAAAGGAAAAAGAAAAAAAAGTTCAAATGTAATACTAGTATGATTTCAGTTATTTCAAGTAACCAAGAAACCAGACTTTTAATCAGCCACAAATGCTGGAGAATCCTTTCTTTGTTTAAACATCAAACCTAAATTCGAGGCCAGCCTGGGCTGAAAAGTGAGACCCTGTCTCTAAAAGACCAAAAAAAAAAAAAAAAAAAAAAAAAAAAAAAAAAAAATCAACTCCAAAAAGCAGAGTGTGAAACACAAACCATTCTTACCTGCTCCTTAAAACGGACCCTTGAGCACTTTACTGGGGAGCTGTGCAGTCATGAACTGGTTCAAGCACTGGGTTCCAAAGTCTGGAGGAGGGCACTCTCCAAGGAGAAAGCCGGGCAAGTCAGAATTACTCTGGAAAAGTCCCCCAGTCCCTCCAGAAATGACAGCCATCCCAGTTCTTCTGTGCGAACCCTTCACAGCCAGTTTTGCTGTAGAAGTTGACGCTAATCACTTTTTTCATCTGTACCAGTTGGCTCGGAGTGGCTCTGTGTGTGTTTTAAACCGGTGCACATGGTTAAATTACACATGGTAAGCGGCAGAAGCAACTTTATTGAGAGGTATCTCTTCCAAATGATCAAGCATCATGTAATTCATGCTTTCTTGTTAATTTAGCCCACCTCTTTGCAGTTTTGACATGCAAATAGTGCTGTTTTCTGACTACCTAATTCCTCCGTTGTATGTCATCTCTTCTTTGGCATGAATTAGCAGACTTTTTGGCAAAGGGCCAGCCAGTAAAGATGTTCGGCTTTGCCAGTCCTGTGGCCTCCCTTGGAACCACTCGGTCCTGTCGAAGTGGGAATTGACTTAGCTGCATGGGTGTGGCCAGTGTTCTAATCACAGTTCATTTACAAAAACCAGGCCTGGCATAGTGGCCCACACCTATAATCCCAGCACTCGGGAGGCTGAGGCAGGAGAATCATTGTGAGTTCAAGGCCAGCCTGAACTGCATGGAGAGACCCTGCCTTAAAAAGACAAAAAAAAAAAAAAGTGGGCCTGGGCTGTAGTTTGTCAGCCCCTGCTCTAACCCTTAGTCAAGGGCTACTTTTTAAAGCCCTGAAGGCAGGGACTGTCTCAGTTTTGTGATTCACAGGAGATGGCTGCTTCCTCCTCCAGGAGGCTGAGATGGCCTAGATGCAGAACGACTCAAATGCAGCTTCCTCCCACAATGCAGGGGATGGAACCCAGGGCTTCACAGAGGTGAGGCAAACACTCTCACCACTGAGCTAGACCCCCAGTCTTTTCTGAAGCAGGATCTTGTTAAACTGCCTGGGTGGCCTTCAGCTTGGGGTCTTACTGCCTCAGCCTCCCGAGTAGCTGGGCTTAGAGATGTGTACCTCCGCCCTAGGCAGCAAGTACTTCTATAAGGACCCCCGAGAGCAAAAAAGAATCGTGCAGAATGTTGAGATCCTTCTGAGCCAGTAAAAGCACTTATTCAACCTTCAAAACCCAGTTCTGGGGCCAGGGATATAGCTGAATGGCACAAGCACCTGTTGAGCGCAGGGTCCTGAGTTCAATTCCTGGTTCAAAAAAAAAAAACTAGTTCTGTGCCTTCTAAAGTAGGTCAGGCCATCGTTTTCTACAAAGAGTAGGCATGCCTAATATTAGTAAGGCAGCCCTAAGGCATTCTAGCCCGATTGGGAAGACATCAGTGACTGTCTTCAGGTGTGAGAAGCAGGTGAGCGAGTCCAGGTTGGCAGGGCCAGGGTGATCTGGTGCTTTCATTTCTCAGATGGAGACGCCAGGTCTCAGGTGGACCCTCAGAGCGACACTGTTAGAGGCTCAGCGGAGCTAGGACTGGACCCCTGCGGTTGAGGATCCTGGGGGTAGAAATTAAACTGAAACCAGACTGTAATGGCCTGTTCACTTTTGCTACAGGTAGAAGAAAAATTAACTAGGGCTGGGTCTGGGGCTGTGTGGTGCGTGCTTGACGCCCTGTGTTCAACCCTAGCACTGTAAGAAATGAACTGGGGCAGGCTTTATGTATACAGGAAAGAAGGAAAGAGCTCCTAGACTCCAGGGCTTCGGGATACCCTCCGCTCCTCTCCTGAGGAGTTGTGGAAGTTTATCACCAGATGCTCTTCTCGTTCTGATGGTTTCACCTCCTTCCGCCCCAGCACTTTTGCCGGTGGGCTGACTTGTTTTAGTTGTTTTTTACCAAGTAGATGGGGCGGGCAGGGCAGGAACAACAACACGCCCGTCCTCTCTGTGCATTTGTTTGTCTTCTGTTCCTGGCCTCGAGGTAAACACTTCATCTCCTCAAGGGGACCCCGAGTGGGACGCAGAAAAGTAACTCGAGTTACAGATTTATTTTTGTGTATGTACTGAGTTCTACTTTATCTTCCCAAGTAAAATGGTTTCTTTCTTTCCTGTCTCAAATTCAAATGCCTCCTAGAGGCTGAACACAGAAAACTGGACGTCATTCTTCTTCGGAAAGGGGCAGCCGTGATTCACCTTCACCGAAGTGTGGGCCCAGTGTGGGACCCTTTGTAATTTTTTAAGAGCTGCTGAAAAAAAATTGTTCTTTTTATGTGTGGTCTTCTGATTTTTAACATTTGTAATAAATTCCAATAAAGCCTTCCAGATTTGGCTCCTGTGCTGTCAGTTTGCTTTATATAAAATGGACAAGCCTCTTTCATTTCTTTGCTTTTGTTTTTTTCTGGGACTGGGAATCAAACTCACGACCTTGCGCTTGCCAGGCAGGTGCTGTGCTGCTGAGCTAAATCCCCCACCCCCTCTTTCATGTCTTGATTTGCTCACCTATAAATTAAAGAGTAATACTACAATGTTGTCATCAGCCCCAGGGAAAATAAAGTATGTCTGAGTGTTTCTGGGGTGGGAGGGTGCATTCAACCCAGGGTCCTCACACTGAGCTATGTCACCAGCTCTTTTTTTGTGTATCTTCTTTTCTTTTGAGATGTGGCGAAGCTTAAGAAATTTTGGTTCCTGGTGTGACTCTGGTTTCTTGCATTGGTGGTGACTGAACCCAGGGGTCCATGCTATGCAAGTGCCCTACCGTTGTGTCCCATCCCCACCCACGTTCCTGTGGGGCCGGACTCGTTTGTGGCGTGTGCACTGACATTCTTTGCGGGAGGTTTCTATTTGCAGGGGCTTTCTAGGTAGCTCAGGCTGGCCTTGAACTCCTGTCTCAGCCTCCCTAGTGCAGAATTATAGACATGTGCCACCATGCTAGGCTTAAACTAATAGCTTTTTAACTAAGAGATTTCAAGCCAGGCCTGGTGGCATCTTGCTCTATAAAACTTTCTTTGAGCCGGGCGTGGTGGTGTACGCCTGTAATCCCAGCACTCGGGAGGCTGAGGCAGGAGGATCGTTGTGAGTTCAAGACCAGCCTGGGCTACAAAGTGAGCTCAAGGCCTGCCTGAACTGCACAGGGAGACCCTGTCTCAAAAAGACAAACAAACCAATAAAATTTTATTATGCATAGTCTTGTTGCAAGGAAAAACACACTGAGGTTATTTCCAAGATTTGAACCTGGTAGAGACACTAAAAAAAATTTATTTTTAATTATCATTACCTCCGTAGAGTAACTTGCATAATCCCAAGTACATATAATATTTAATGGTTTTTACATATGTAGAGATGTTAGTCCAACTACCTAGATCAATATATAGACTATTTGTGTACCACAGAAATCTCCCTGGACAAAGGTAACCACTCTTCTGACTTCTATTTGCATCGCCTGTGTCTTCAATAGATGCTTGCTCCTTTTGTGTGTGTGTGTGTGTGTTTGAGA